CCCCCCCCCCCCGAGTTGTAAACCAGCCTTTGACTCGTATTGCTTGGCTTCAGCAGTTTAAACACTTGTCCTAGATCAGACCCCTGAATAGAGGAAATAATCTAAGAGCTTGGGAGTTTTCAGCTTTCGTTTGGGCTCTACTGCTAGATCCTAAACAAGCTATCTAGGTTAGCATAGAAAGACTTGGTGGAGGAGGAGAGGGACCATCAATAGGGAATAAATCAAATGTTTTTGAAGCCAAAATACTGACTTTTATTTGCAGGTGTTTACACGAGAATGCATGAGCCACTACCTGAGGGTGTTTAACTTCCTTTGGAGAGCAAAGCGGATGGAATATATTCTCACTGACATATGGAAAGGACATATGTGCAATGCAAAGCTACTGAAAAGTATGCCAGGTAAAGGGAAAAACCAATGTAGATAACGTATACTCTGTAACTGGTGTTTAAATCATAGCAGTTCAGCTAAAGCTGTATGCCAGATAAATTCAGCTAGTAGTGATTAAAAGAATTGATAAGTTATTTCTGAATAGTGAGAATAAAATATTTCACTTGTAATTTCCAATGTTCAAGATAAATAATTATAGAGACTGAGCGAAACAAATGATACCGTGGCTGGGAACTAAAATGTTCTGTTCCATGATTTTGATTGCTGTATGTCGATCTTTCTTTAGCTATTGAATCCTTGTAATGGTGAGTTAATTGTTCAAACAGAAGCAGTTCTCATTAACTCACTTTCATCTTTCCCTCAGCCCAAAAAAGACAGAGGCATTGGTTTTTGATGGATACAGCTCAGCCTTGTGGGTATCAGTTGAGAACAGCTAGGTTCTAAACTAAATGCTGGGCAAAGAGCTCAGGGGGAACCCCTCCACCGGAGCAGAGCCAGGCAAGTGGGCCATATCTGTTCCTCACAAAGCCAGGCAGTCCAGGGATACACTTTCCCAGTGTTAGGCAAAGCACTGGGAAAAATCCCAGTAAAAATTCCTCCCATGCACTGAGCAACTGATGCACCAAGGAAATCCTTCCCTGGCACTGGGTGAAGTGTTCAGGCAAGGAGGGAATTACAGCCTCAGCATGGGGCTAGGTATGCAGGGACACTCCTTTCCAAAACAGTCTGTTTTGGATTCATCTCATGTCTTTTACTCTTGTCCTCCTTGCTAAGCCATGTTTCAATCACGGAGTATATTTAAACCTGTTTCTTATCTTTTGCACTAACTTTAGTTGACTTCTGCAATTTGATCTGAATGTATAGAAGGCTATGCCACTTGGGTTTCTCTTGTGCTCAAATCTAGAATCTCAGTTTTCCTCTTAAATTTGTTTTACTTTTCTTTTCCTTATTTTGCTATTTTTTCCTTAATTTTCCCTTGATTGCTGTTTTCTCCCACCCACTGCCACCTGTTCTTCCCTCCTCTTCCTATCTGTACCTCATGGTGCTTTTCTCTTCCTGTTGTTCTGTACTGCCCCCTCTTCCCCCAGTGAAGGGGAATAGCTATAGTTGAAAGCAACAAGCTTCTTTTGAAGCAGCCTTCAGAGCTCATTAGTTTCACTCCCACTCCTACTCTACTCCATTGCTTGGCTGGAAGCTGAGTAGGCAAAAGGAGGAGGAACATATCTGCCAGGGTGGATGTGAAATTAGAAATCTCTGAAATGTAGTAGCATTAACATGCTTAGCAGTGGCATGGTGCATTTGGATTCAGCCTCTCTGCACAGCTGGGAGTGTGGTAGTATGGGTGAACAGAGGATTGACTGAATTCTCTTTGTTATTCCAACTTCCAGTGCTCATGATTATTCACTTTTTTTTCTGTTGTATTGAATGCTGTGTGGAACTTTTCTTCTCACATTACTGTATAAGTACTATATTTACCCAAATCCAAGACGACTTTGATTTTTAAGACCCCCCCCCCCATATAACCTTTTTATGGTTTTCCATGTATAGAATTTAGTAATGAGAGGGTTGTCTTTAAATTCATCCCCACCACCACTGCAGCAGGAAAAGCAATAGGAGGGAGGTGTGGTGCCTGCCTCCTGCTCCCTGTAGCCTTGGGCCCCTACCCTTGTTCTCTCCAACTTTCTTCCTCTCTCTGCTGCAGCCTGGAGCCATGGTCCATGCCCCAGGCCATAGCAGGGGCAAAGATAATTTGGGTGGTGGGGAGGAAGGAGTGCCAGGGAAGAGGGGACAGGGACCCTAGACTTCAGGGGGAGGCAGAAACAGCATGGGGAGGATGGGGGTGGAGGTGGAGAGGAGGTATATCTATGTGGCACTATACCTAAGCTAGCTGTAAATGAGTGGAACGGTATTTAATGGCATTGCTTGGAACGGTAAATCTAACTTGATTGGAATGCGTGCTAATATGGCACTGTTGTTTCTGGTACCTGAGCTAAGCAGTGTATATCTCTGTGCATCACTGTTATACAAAGCAGGTATAGCTTTGGTAGTCCCATGTATGTTAGACATGTGGACAGCCTTGTTTTTCTGTAGCAGTCATATTCCACTGACTGGCCAAGACCAAACTCCAGCTAAATGTGTGCTTCCCTGCTTGGACTTTCCCCATCCAAGCAATACCACTGTTGAACTTTTTGCTAATAGTTGCTGTTTAAAATGATCTCTTAGGCAAGCCCTTTACCAAAAATAAAAAAAAAAAAGGATAAAAAAAGAATTTTACTGTGTTGAGTATAATACAGTACAGTAAATAAGTACTGTTGTACTGTACAACAGACTTGATAGGACACTCAGAATTTTCAAATTTACAAGCAGTTAAGAGATTAATTGCACTCTGATCTACTTTTGAATGGAAATACTTTGGTGTTGGTGCTATGATATGAGGTTTTGAAAGGCCAGATATGGAAAATAGTAATGTCCGTCAAGTGAGAGTATCATGTGAAGGATACAAACTTTTTTTATTGGTGACCTGACACTTGAGTAGGAGTTCAAAAGGGACCCTGAAATATGGTTATTGGCTGCAACTTGTCAGATCTGTTGTTTTGAGCGCTCATTCTCTAAATCATTGTGACTTCAGAAAACACCCAAGAACATCAGTTCTTGAGCCTCTAAGAGGCATGTTGTACCTCTTTCCAGTACTTTCTTCAAGGCTTACCCACCGCAAGCATTAGGCTAATTTAAGGTTTTCCTAAGTTTCCATTAGTTTAATTTAAAATGTAACCATATTTTCAGTTTGCAACATCTCATATTTTACATACTGCATCAGTTTTCTTTGGTGTCATTGACTTGGACTCCAAATTGATAATAGGGGTGTAGGTTGTAGTTGTGTTGGTCTAAGGACATAGGCAGACAAGGTTCTTTGGGTAAATCTGATATCTTTTATTTGATGCTTCCTCAACCTGATGAAGGGTGTTCATGCCTGAAAGCTTGCTAAGAAGAATTTTTCCAATTATTTGAGTTGGTCTAATAAAATATATTGGATTTACTCAAAGAACCTTGTCTGTGAGTTGATGATAGAACACCTAATGAGGAGCCCAAAAGGGAATGTAATGAGCAAAGTACACCCATGTATGTGGAGGCATTGTCAGGCCTGCATACTGTCTACACATTTTCAGCAGTCAGATGTGGGCAGATGATTACTTTAAGCAATGCTAATGGGCTTATATTAATATAAATAAGGGTAAATGAGGAGGAGGTGGAAGACTCAACTTTGCAGAATTGTTGGGGTTCTTTGTAGTGTGTGGGGTTTTTTTAAATTTTGAATCCTGAAATATTTAGCTTACCTTTAAAGGATGGACTTTTAGAAAATAACTAATTGGGGAAGTCCCTGCTACAGTCTTACCCTAAACTAATACTGCTACACTGTGTCTTTTCAAAATAAAAAATGTGTTGTTAAAAAAAAAAAAAAAAAAAGGCTGTCTAGTTTTCTTATTCCGAGTGTCCTCTACCCTCTTGTGGGTAATTCTGATTTTTCCAGTCAAAAGAAGTCTGGGATATACCTACCTGTTTTCTTAACCTGAATCTGAATCCTGCCTGTTTTTAGCAGATGTTTCTTTTGGCACAAACAAGACTCCACTATTAAGCTTTGACTTGAGTACAAAGTTGAACTTCTTGAAACACCCCTTAGAGGGCAGTGGAGAATTGCAAATGGGGAAACTAACTTGGCTAGCAAAACAGCTGCAGAGCCAGAGTTGGGTTTTTTTGGTGGTGTTTGCAGAATTTGGTCTAATTCTGTAAAATTATACAAAGTCCTTTAATCTATTCTTTTTTGTTTTGTTTTTTTAACTCAGTATCTTGCTCCTTTGGTACAGGGTTATGCTGTGTGTATGCATGTTTGTGTATGTAATAATCAGGGGAAGACAGAAGCCATGTATGAAAAGTAGTGGTAAAAATTATATTTGCCCTCATTTGATGGGAGCTTGCTTTTTATTTGTATGGCAGACAATCTCAATGAGATGCCTGCTCACAGCTGTTTGAACATGTAGCTGCTCTGATCAGATCAGCTTTCAACTACTTATGGCTAAAAAGTAGCCTCTTTCTGAATGTGGATTATCAGTGCCTCTTGGCACTTTTTTATGTGAAATCACTGGAAAGGGCTCTGTGTGAGGCTAGAACTCAAATCTGGACAGAAGTATAGAAGCTTCAAATTGGTGCAGGTTCTTCGATTATGCCACTTGTGAACTCTCTTCTTTTTTTTCCTTTCCCTTCATAGGATACATCTGTTTGACAGCAGTAGTTTTTGGGATTTGTTGTGGCTCTCTATTAACAATATGGGAATGGTTTGTTTGAGGTTTTTTTGGAGATTTGTTGTGGCTCTACTAGGCAGTGTGGGAACTGTTTTTAGTTGGCTCTAACTAGAC